GAGATGGACCACATGGTTAGGGCTCTTCTCCATTTCAATTTCTAATTATTCTAGAAACCAGTGAAACCCTACCAATGGAACTATTTACCCGCTTAAGCATTGCTAACAATTCATAGGCTTAACACGAATTGAGAAAAACAAACCCATTGTGCACAGTGTCTCTGTTTTACATAAACATCTCCCAAGTCCTAAAATAATATTCAACTCAACAAGTATCTGAGTACCCTAACTGTAACTAGCATTATGTCAGGCTTTGTGAAAAAAGACAAAAAAGACAGATATCTGAGGAGCTCTAATATACAAGATTTATTAATAACAACAGCAATGACAACTAGGAAATGATTCTGAGACAGTATGTGGTGGTTGCAGAAGTAGAGTTAGTGAGAGAGAAAATGGAATGGGTATAATGAAGCCAGTTGGCCAAAACCTTGAATGACACACTGAAAAGTTTGGAATTAAACCCATGGAAAAAAACTGTTGGGAAAGTCATGACACATTTTTGCATGAAAAAAACATAGAAAAATATACCATGACTTTCCTGACAACATGTTATCTGGATCCTACTTCCCAATCAAAAAAAAAAAGAAAAAGTTTTGATTTATTTGTTATGCTTCCCTTGAATCACATTAATGATCCCTAGTTATTTTCTTGATCAGTCAGCCTCAATATAAGGAATGTCAAATCTAGGTATACTAATGGTTTTTCTAGTTATAAGAGATTTTTTTTTTTTGAGAGGTTTTTCCTACAGGGCACGTGCGCTCGCCAGACAGACAGAGATATTAGAGATAGAAAGCGAGAAATCACCCCCCAGAGGGGGATGGTCACGCCGCAATCCCTTCTCCTCCATTCTCCTCTCGGGATCTTGGGCACGCACGCACATGCGCCCGGCGTGAGTTTAAGCCACCGGGTCCAGGATGTGAACTGCAGTCGACTACGTGGGAGTCCAGCGACATAGCCATTACGCTAACTGCTGGTTCCCAGGAGATGTTTTGTAGAAGTATTAACTTCTATGACATCACTTCAAATAGTTAGAAACATACCCCAAATGTTCCAAACAGTCGTAAATAAACCCTTAGTGATCTATCCATAGTTTACATTATCATTTGGGGCAATGAGTTGACTCAGACACTACTATTCTTCCCAAAATAATTTTTCAAGCATTAAAAGATACCTAATACTGGGCTCTACCATGGTGACACAGAAGGTAGGACACCACTCTACAATGCTGGAGTCACGTGGAAGATCCTGAGTTGGTATAAAACACAGGCATGTGTATGTTCCTATGTTTATGGCAGTTGGCTGTGCAACTGTGGTAGGGAGAGGATCAAGGAATGAAAAGAGCCTGTTGAGAGTGCATGTTTTTCTCACTCTGTCTCTGTTTCAAGATGTAAAATGAGTAAACTTCTTTAAAAAAAAAGATATCTAGGGGACCAGCAGGTGGCATGGTGGTTAAGGTGCTGGACGTTCCCACATGGCTGACCACGGTTCGAGTCCCAGACCTGGTGGCTTCCTTTCTCATTTTCCCCCTTTCTCTCTCTCTATCAAATTAAAAATAAATGAATCAATAAATAAAATTTTTTAAAAATATCTAATACTTAATGTTATATCTGGCACAGCATACTTTCTATTAACTAGATTGTTAAATTATACCAACATATGAACCATACCCATCTCACTCACTCAAGGTTTGGTAGACTTTGATACTATGAAACCCTCAACCTCTCTCTCCAGACTAAAAATAAAAAAAACTAGAAATGCCCTCCATCCTTTTGATCAATGTAATTGGATTCCTGGGGGCTTTTATCAGCTGTTAGGTTTTCCTGAGAAGCAGCCACCAGAATTTCTGTCTGATTATACATACAAATCCACTTTTGATCTTTTGATCTTATATAGAAAAGATAAAGGTTTTCTTTTTCACACCCTTCCTGATGATGCCCATCACATTCTTGGTCTTCAAGGATCACAATCATAAATGGATCAACTTCTCCACAGAATGATCAACAGTGATTTTCAGTTTTTACTCTAACAATCATATTGTGTATTGTCTGAATTAGGCATTAATGACATGTTCCCAGAACTTGAGGATCATCTCCACCAAGTATCTATATAAATCTACTGCTCTAGCTGAAGGAGATAATTATGGTTGCATAAGGTTTGATGTGACCCTCTCACTTTTTATCATTGCCAGGGAGACTTTTCTAACATTTTCCTTGAAGAACTTGAAGAATTCTTCTGCTGTGTTTCCTTACTTCCCAAACTTCCTTCTGTATCCTGATTTAAAAGTTTTTAAATTGAAAAATTATGGACAGACATCTACAGTGATTTCTAGATCCCTTCCCTGAATCATAACTGAGAGCCTGGAGCCCACCATCACATAAGTATGGGTAGGTTTACTCTTGTCTAACTGCATGACCTTACACGATGAAGTGCCTGACTGTTCTGCTCAATTGGTCTCATGAGACCTTCTGGTAACGTGTGCTTATCAGCTTGCCTTACTCTTTGCAAATACACTGGGGAGAAACTGCCCATTGAAAGGTGTATATTTTTATCTTTCTCTCCATCCAAGAACTGCCATAACAGCAGCTATTGGGTTGAAAAACTAAAATATAAAAATAGAACCTACATGGCCAAATTCCACAAGGCTGTTTACTTCCTTATTTATGAACCAGAATCTGACAGCGCAACTCAGAATTTTAACTGTCAGCAGATACTGTTAACTAAATGTTCCTGCAGAGCCAGCAGAGGGTGCACCAGGGCACTTGAAATTTTACCCAAGCTGTATTAATTTAATGTTAATATCCAATCAACATTTTATTTATTTACTTATTCATTCATTCATTCATTCTTTGTATATTAAAACTAATATTTTCAAGATGAACTTAAACTAAATCTGAGCTAAAATTCCTTTAAAGTATATTCCAAGTTTCCTACAAGTGAGGTTAAGGAAGAATAAACGGTACATACTTAAACTGAGTAGTCTGGTCAAAATGTAAGTGTTGTAAAACAAAATCATGCAGATCTGAACCCTCTATTTTGTAAAAATTTTACTATAGAATTCCACTCACTCCATGAAAAAAAAGGCCTCAGGATGCTATTGGTGAATGGACACTTAACAGGGAGTTGAGAGCAATCAATTTTCATCCTAGTTTTCCCTCTAGTGTACCTTGGGAAGTGTCACCTCCCCCTTAGGGCCTATGTGTTCTCCAAGGGAATGAAACAAAATAGACTCATATGGCCCCTCACAACCCTAATAAAACTGATTCTAATTGATGTCAACAAATTTCAAGAGCCAGTACTTGCTTCTACTGCTCAAAAACATTGAAACAGTAAAAAACAAAAGATACGAAGCTGTGCTTAAACCTAGAACTATTTTATGTCATGCAAAGTGCAGGCGACTAAATACCATTACAGACCTGTGAGAACTGCATGCCATCACAGAAGCTCGAAAGTAAAACTGTCTGGCTAATGCTCAGTCTACAAACATGGCTCTGTCCATTCTGCCTGCCAAAAAGTCTGGGTCAGAGTACTCAACTAAGAATTCATCTTTTCACAGACTTTCAATGTTCAGCTGTGAGTATTTCTATTGGGCATTGAGAGGTAGATAAATAAAGGAGCCAGAATCCTAGTTAATTATCATTTAGCTACAGTGTTTAAAGTTTCAAGTATGAGAAGCATGTCTGCTGATTTTCTTCTTTGATAAGCTGTTATATAAATTTAAGTGCATTAGCAAGACATTTTAAAACTCAGGACAACTTTTCAATGCATATTGTAAAAAACAAAAGTGTTGGTCCTAACATTATCACGTATGTGATGCCTTTATCAAGTGCACAATTTTGGATGAGAGGTCAAAGTAGCACAAATAATGTTTACAGAGTTGTAACAATGACACTGAATGTATTAGTAAATGTAGAAGGCCTAGGTCCTTCACCTCAAGAAACTTAGGTGCACAACTTGCCCTCATCCCAGAGAGGTGCGAATTCACTCTTATTAAAGGATCATTAGATACTTTTAAGTTTTACATGATACTGCAATCAAGAAAATACTTATGTTAAGTGCACTAACTTCACTTAAAGAGCTACAGAAAAAAGTAGAAAACACCAAAGTTAATCATTTGCTAATAAGAGCATAAACACAATATAAATTGGAACAACAAAAAACTGCTTTGGGGATACTACTCCAGTCATTATTTCATTGGTGTATTTCTGTTCTCAAGCTAGCAGTAGTGAAAAGGCTTCACACCTTCCATTCTCACTGCATGCCTCCCCCCTCCACCCACCCACTCACCCACCCACAGAAAACAGTTAGAACCGGCATTTCAAAGGGTGAGTTTTACTTCCATAGATTTTTTAAACTGCTGTCGAGAAGTTGTCTAGCAAGACGGCATGTTTCTACCAGAATTCCTCAGGGGCTCTGATCCTCACTAGAACGCTGAGGACAATCAGTCTCAAATTGCAGGTACGTGTGAACAAACCCATGGTCTGGTCAGCACATGGGACCCCACGCAGAAAATATGGTGAAAAGTTGTTTCAACGGGCGTGGAACAGTTATTACAGCTGTTTACACTCCAGTTCCAAAGGACAGCCAGCTAACGCTGGCATTAGCTCTGGACACGAAAAAACAAGCACCGCGGGCAGAGACCCTTACTACGAGCAGCAAAGCTCCTGCCGTTAGTTGGCCAGGGGCGGGCAACGCCAGCATCGCCTTGTGGCCGCCCAGGTGGAACCATCGCCAACTTTTCCTGAGGCAGCCAGTAGCCCAGGGCGGTGGGCGTTGGCTACAGTTTCCAATAAAGGGGTCCTGACAGAGTCTGTAAGCTGGGCCAAGGACGCAGGACAACCTGCCCTGAGCGACCTCTCCTTTGCTCGCCTACCTCCTTCCTGTCCACCCCCCCTAACTAGGCTCGAGGTGGCAAGAGTCCTCTCAGAGTCCTGTGGTGGGGGCCCCCTTCCCTACCCACAAGAAGAGAGGGCCTCCGCCGCCGCCCCTACTAGGTGACTCACCTGGTGCCCTTCCTGGGAGTCAGGGGGCAGGGTGGATTCTCCCAGTTCCAAAGGCTGCTGCTGAGGTGATGGTTGCCCGAGGTGGCGAGTGATGGGACCGTCAGGGTCGAGGCCACCGAGGCTGCTCAGGGTGCCAGAGGTGCCAGGGGTGCCCGGGCCGCCAAGGCGGGACTCAGCTCCCCGTTCCCGCCGCAATTCGGAGCGCAACTCCAGGTAGCAACACAACGTCAGCAGGTGGAGGGCCAGCGAGAGGCCAAAAAAATCCAGGAAGAGCCGGCAGCTGTTCCCTTCGCCCGCCCGGGCAGGGGCCCTGCGACAGCCGCAGCCCCGGCT